ATTTTTAATACATAATTTAATAAAACTACGTTACGCAATTTTTACGACGTGTTCTCGTGCACCAGGTAAAATTTATGCTTAACAATGTGGACTGTTTAAAATGTGTCGTTGTATTGTATATATATAAAAAGATAATATTCTAAGTTAAAAATGGTTTAAAATGCACAATGAAAAAGTACGAGTACAGATTTTTAACTCACACAAGATTTTGGAATGCATAAATTCACTTATTAATTTACATTCGCGATTGGATTCCTATACGAGTTAAAATATTCGAACTTAGTAAAATTCTATCTTGAACGCACTTTTTACAAGTGATTCCTTTCTCGCAGTTAAACTACAAAATCATCTAACAATATATATGAATATATATATATGTATGTAAATTCTAATAACAAACGTTACATAACAATAGAAAAAGAAATAAATTGGGTCCCAGTAAACTTACTGCAATATTTTCTTATAGTTATGGCACATTTATGTAATAATAAACTTAAATCAGGGAAACTGTAATACAATATCTGTGTGTGTGTGCAATATGTAAAATAATAATATATCAATTTTAAAAGAAAATAATTTGAAGAAAGAACACCAGACTAATATATTACAAATTAATCTTCTGAATGATATTGTCTTCTGTTTCTATTAAAAAAGATTCACCTTTTATGCATTTCATGTTACAATGTTACATGTTTTACCTTTTTCTTATTACTTTCTACTTTAACAGATGTTCTGACATGGTATGTAAGTTTTTTAGGCATCAAATTCAGTATTATAAGAAATATTTTCTTTTTCTTCCTATTTCTTGCCATATATCTTACACAGAACGTGGGAATACTTTTAGATGTTGAAAATAAAGTGAAGTACTTGCAATTAATGCATTTGTTACATATAATAATCTGTTATTAATTGATTATAATTGTTACATTAGTATTTGCAACGTTTTTTAATAAATCCTATGGTGTATGGATGTCATAAATTGTTCGACACTCTCATATACGCTGTAATACTTGCACGGTTTTATAGTGCTTAATAATTAATTGGGTCTACGCTAAAAAGAAGCGTAAATTTATCAACATGTAGCTCAGTATTTTGTACCAAGCAACACTTTTTTAAGCAGACTTATTTACTTAATGTATGACATTTTCTGAATTAATGCTTTCATATCGATATTGTATTAGAATTTTCAGTACATATTTTTCATAATCTCGAAAGAAGTATCCTCTTCCATTTTCTTCTGAAAAACAAATTTTGTTCTTCGTTTTCGATGTAATATCTTATACGAAGAACAACCACCTTTTCAGTTTTAGCACAATTTAGGATATATTATGTATAGTGCTTGGGAAAGAAAAATAGTGATTTATCTAATATTTTTATATACAATAAATAATTAAACTTAAGCATCATTTACCCAGTAAAAGCCAGGCAGTGTTATAAATCAAGATGTCCTTAAAACACGGCACTGTGAAACACTGTGCGCTATCTTAGAAACGTCTTAAAGACATAATTTTTATACGTAAAATGGACATCTCTAATTGTAAGACGTTGTGTGCTATCTGGGTTTATAGACCAATATATTTGAATATGTGATGTATTTTATAGAGTAACATAAAATTATTTTCTACAGTTATTTTTTATCGATATGAAAGAATTAATACGATACTACACCCTTTATAAACACTTTATATAAAAACTATAGATTAATCGATTTCGTAATTACATTAAAAGTTTTTAAATGTATCAAATGCAATTTTATTACAACCAATTTTGCAACTGATATTATTTACAGTGGAATGTATGAAGAAAAGTATTAAATTTCATTATGTAATATTGTAATTCCAGATTTGGAACAAATAATATTTGAGAGATAAGTACACTTTGCACAATTCTTTTCGTAAACTGTGAAGGTTCTTTGCAATGTAATTAGAGTTTTTACATCTAGAAGTAGTTTCAATTTTAAAACTTTTCGTGTTTAATTAATCGGTATTTACATGTTATTAATTACATAATTTCGAATTTCTCAAATATTATTGCAATGAAATGCTAAAAATTGGTATGGGGTATACATATGTGTGTATGTTCTTGCTTCAGGCATAAATGCAATAAAAAGAAATAATAGAAACATTTCGCTTTATGGCTTGCATAAAAATTTCTTCCCACGAACATATTTTGTATAAAAGTACTCTAAATTTTCTTATTTATTACATATGTATTCATAAAATATGTAAATTTTATTCTTTCTTATTTATCTGTTATTTGTTAGAAAATTTATTTACGTTTATTGATATTCTATTAAAACGTATAGCACTTCAAGGACAACCCGTCACGAGGTGTTCATCTTTTTCTTCTTTTATCTTTCCAATACTTTTTCTTGCATTTATGGATATGATATTGTATTCCCTATGTACAATGTAACCACAAAAGTAATATTAATATTATTGTTCTTTAACTATAAACAAATTGAATTCGTTTCTCAATGTCGTGTTACACATATTTGTAAATATCACAATTATAATAACGCACGTTGAACGGCAATTGCGCAAAATAAACAATAAGTAGGTATTTTATCTTGGTTACCAAACTTATTCAATTTGCAAAAATAATACTTTTTGAAGATCCGATCGAGATAAGGATAACAAACTATAACGAGAAGAAAGATGTAACCCTTATTCACTCCTTAAAAGCAAAATTCATTTTACTTCTATAGCTTTCGAATAAATTAATCGCCTTCCCAAACATTTTCTTACAACGCGATACTTTTTTTTTATATTATTTGAAAAATACTGTGTCAAGGGAGCTATAGTCGAGGCCAAATGTGTTGACCGGTCACGTGATTTTCTCCCTCCGCCGCTTCTCGGTTTCACTCTTACCGTTCGGCAGTTAACAGTGTGTATGCAGTCCTATAGAATCTTTCGGTTCTGCCCTTAATTTACACTTGTACGCTACAGTACACATACGCACATACACACATACACACGCGTTCATACATGAAGCTGCACGTAAATAGATATATCGAGAGTAAGCAAGCTCGGCATTTCAAAGGAATACCGTGCGGCAAAATGAATCATCTAATATCAAAAATTGGTACTATTTTTATAAAGATAAGATAAAAATTGGTGAAACTGAAATTTTTGAAATTGGATGATTCATTGCAACGCAGTCTGTATCTCTTTGAAGTGTCGTGTCTCCACTATCGTTGCTTGACACACCACGCTTGACTATGTCGGGAAACCTATTACCAAAAAAAGACAGATGAAAGTATATACATGCTTAATCTTATTCAAAGAAAGCGTTAGAATTTCTTGTGCAAGAAGTGTGTAAGCAAGTTCTACAAATGATACTATATACACTATTAGAAACCATTCTTTTTCATAATTATTTGAAATACATCTTATTGTATAACCATCATACATAACATTTCACCATAATGAATGCTTTATAAACTTCATTAACTGGCACCACTTTTACAAAGTGAGTGAAACATACATACAATCTTAAATCTTAATTATATCGCAAAATAATGCTCTTAGAACAGATGCACTTTTATTTTTTTCTTCTTAGGATTCTTCACTCTATTAAATATTGCTACAAAATGATAATTGCTCTTTATAAAAGCTGCTCAGAAGGTTCCCCTTGAAATATTCTTTACAGTATATGATTCTTATAATCATATAATCCTGTATCTTCATTTTTCTTCTAATGTAAAACAATTGTAGAATACCAATGATATTGTTGACTATGGTCTGTTGTTTCATTTAATAAAAATTTAATTTTACATACAGAATCCCATAAGAGTGGATAAGGGTTATTTAGTTATTGCATGTACTTACATTTGGAATAACTAAAGTTTTAAAAAGAGACAGATGACATTGGCACTGATATATATATTTACCTTGTTACTTTTAAACCT